GAAAATTTTCCTTAAAGAAAATGACCAGTAAATCTATAGAAGCCTTGTATAACCCCAATTAAGAATCCGTATCCCTAAACTTTTGCCTATAACTGTACCATTTGCATGAGGAATCGGCTATTGCCAACTCCATGACAAGACCTAATCCCCACCTTGTCTATAGAAAGGATCAAAGAACAGCGGTCGAAGAGTCGGCTATTCATCGACTTGTGCAAATCGTTGGCGAACAAGGCTCTCTGTTATTTTAGACCAGTTTTACCTACGTACAGGTACCAGAACATCGGAATGGCAAGAAAGTGAAATTGTTGAAATATATATATATACAGAATGACTTAAGGTATTCGGATTAGTGATTTACAATTAAAGTATTTGAAAAGTCGTACATTATCAACTCAGAAATCACTCTTCTAACAGAAATCTATCAACTCTTCTAACAATAAACATTTAAAGAATACATATATATTATTTATATACGAACATATATTTATAGAAATCATTAACTCTAGAATTAATTTCTCAATATGAAATTCGATTTTCAAGCTTATAAGAAAAAATTATTCAAACATATTTATATAATCTAATTACAACATTATTTAAATTTCATAGCTAAAAAATTTATCAAAAATAATATTGATTATTGATTATTAATCAAAGACATATACATGAATAAAAGTTTAATATATGACAAACTTTATAATTTATAACAATAGAAATTTCGACTTGCTAATTTCGAGCTTCGAAGAAGTAATAAAAATTTCTCATTATAATCATATCCTGGAACACTAATCAGGTAAGAAGAAGAAAGATTTGACCCAAACGGATTACGGGAATTTTCACAACGGGAATATATACGATTGTAGACGAGCGAAAGCGTGCCTCTCTGCTCGCGGTTCATACATCACGAGAAAGGAACATAGTATCGGTATATATAATGAATAGTAAGTACGTAGTTCGTATGCATTTTCTAATGAAACAGCGTGCACAGGGCACGCAGGTTAGGTATCGTTGCATACGATAATTTGTCCTGGCTCAATCCTTACAGGATGATCATTATTCCAGAGCCGTGGACAACTAGGTAGCCTTTCCCGCTTCTATCCGTGCCGCTCGTTAATGAACAAACCATTAATCAAACTCTTCCGGTAGCTATCAATTGATAATAGTAAATATTAAATACTATTGGATTTTTTTATATTTTGTGAGAATTTATTTTAATACTAAACTATTTATTAATATGTTGATTTCTGAATGTTTTAATTTAAATATTTTGTCATTTCTTTTATCCTTCAAATTTTTTATTTTACAAATTTTGTTATTTTTTTTTTTTTAAATAGTTTAATATTCGTATATTCAATATTAAAAATTATTAACTTTTCAAACGTTAATATTTGTATTGACATATTTATATGTGTATATATATATATATATATATA